AGTGGACAAAAATCACTCGAAAATCAGAAACAAGACAAGGATACCCACTGTCACCACTTTTATTCATTATAGTTCTGGAAACAATAGCCAGAGCAATTAGACAAGAGAAAGAAATAAAAGGAATGAGAAAAGGAAAGGAAGAAGTTAAACTATCATTATTTGCAGATGATGAATAGTCTACATAGAAGACCTCCAAAACTCCACCAAAATACTTGTAGATTTAGTTGTGTGGCTTGATACAAAGTCAACACTCCAAAATCAATAGCCATATTTTATGAGAACAACAAATTAACTGAGAGAGAAATTAGGGAAATGATGCCTTTTACAATAACATTGAAAAAAATGAAATGCCTAGGAATCACTCTAATGAAGGAAGTAAAAAAATCTTCACATTAAAATTATAATAGTCTGAAAAAAGAGATTGAAGAGGATATTAGAAACTGGAAAAATATTTCTTGCTCTTGGGTAAGAAAAAACCAATATAGTGAAAATGGCCATACTTCCAAAATTATTATACAGAAATAATGAAATCCCAATCAAAATCTCAGCAGTATATCTCACATAATTAAAGAAAAAATTCTAAAATTCATTTGGAGCCAGAGGAGACATAGAATAGCAAAAGCAATTCTGGGCAACAAAGGCAAGGCAGGGAGCATTATAATCCCTGACTTGAAATTATGCTACAGAGCTACCATGATAAAAGCAGCATGGCACTGGCAAAAAAACAGACCTGAGATCAATGGAACAGACTAGAAGACACAGAAACAACCCCCAAAACACTAAGCCACCTTATTTTTAACAAAGATTCATTGGAAGAAAGATAGCCTCTTCAGTAAATGGAAAAACTGGTGCTGGAAAAATTGGCTTTCTACATGTGGAAGACTACAACTAGAGCCATGTTTCTCACCATACACTAAACTAAAATCAAAATGAGTCAAAGATCTAAATATTAAAACAGAAACACTACATCTGCTGGAAGAGAGAACAGGGAGAACACTTGAGGACATAAGAGTAGATAAAGGCTTAATGAACAAAACTCAGACTGCACAGGAAATAATACAAAGAATTAACAACTGGAACCTCACCCTATTAAAAAATCTTTTGCACCACAAAATAAATCACCAAGAGAATAAAGAGACAGCCCACAGAGTGGAAAAATATCTAGGTCCCTCAGACAAAGGACTGATATCTAGAACACACAAAAAATTGAAAAAAATCAGACAGTCCAAATTTAAAGATCTAATCCAAAATTGGGCATTAGAAATGAATAGATACTTCTCAGATAAAGAAGTAAAAACATCAAATAAATATATGAAAAAATGTCCAATGTCACTGGTCATTTGAGAGATGCAAATTAAAACATCTTACTCCAGAAAGAATAGCTAATATCAAGAAATCAACCTATACCAAATGCTAACAGGGGTGTGGGGAAAAAGAAACCCTTTTCCACTGTTGGTGGGAGTGCAGATTGGTGCAACCACTGTGGAAATCAGTGAGGAGATTCCTGAAAAACCTAGGATTAGAGGTTCCATTTGACTCAGTTATTCCACTTTTGGGTATCTTCCCAAAAGAATTAAAAGCATCATGACATAGTGATAAATGCACATACATGTATATAGTGGCACAATTTGTAATAGCTAAATCTTGGAAACAACCCAATTGCCCATCAACTTATGAATAGATAAAGAAGATGTGGTTTTTCTATACAGTGGAATTCTACTCAGCCATAAAGTAGGATAAACTTCAGACATTTGTAGCTAAAGGGATGCACCTTGAAGCTTTACCCTTAAGTGAAATAAACACTAGTGTAAATATCACATTGCCTCTCTGGTGTAAGAAACCGAAAATGTAAACAGGGACCTAAATGTAAACAGACAGTGTAAAATTAAAAAAAAAAATCAGTAGGAAGGGGGAACTGGAAAGGGTTAAAGAAAGAAAGGTTAAAGAAAAAATGAGAAAAGAGGAGTTGAAGGGCAGAGAGGGGACCTGAGGAAAAAAGAATCAAGATACATCATGTAAAGGTACAAATTACTTACGATGAATGTGATCATTACTTAAATTTAAATTGTACTGATAAAATTAAAAATGATAACAAAAGACAAGCTGTGACCACATTTTGCTACTTGTTGTCTAATAATACTCTTTCAGGCTGGATTAAGAGTAAATTGTGAATTGAGAAGGTGTTGTGCTGTGGCTTTAGATGAACTACAGAAAGGAAGACCAATCTAGGTGGGCATCCAGCAGGACATCTGTGGGCTCCACTTAAAACTGCTGATAGTTACTCTTGAACTGAAGCAAGAGTTTATTGAAAATCACAGTGGTTGGGCTTTAGAATTTCCCTCTTGTTTCTTCATAAATGAAGACCAAATTGATATTACAGTTTTTAAAAATATTCTAATTCCTGAGACAAAAATGCCCAAAGTTAAAGGAGGGAAAGTTTATTGTAGCTCACAGTTTGTAGAGGCTTGAGTTCATAGTTGGCTGGCTCCAAGACAGTGTGGTATGACAGATTGGCCTCACAGAGGAGAAACAGTTCATGGCAAGCAGAAGGCAGCAAGGTAGAAAAGCAGCAGTAGCAGAAGCAGATGGAGCAGCAATCTGCCTCTCCATTTTATCCTTTCCAGGCTACCTGCCCTTTAAGTGGTCCCACCCTCATCCAGGGTGGGCTTTCCCATTATCCACAGTCAGAACTATGCCAAACAAATCAGTGAATTAACTTAGCAATTACACACTCTTAATCCCAGCATTACACACTTAATTCCAGCACCACATATCCGAGAACCAGCCATCTCTGAAAAGCCCCCCATCTATGACCACATATTCTTTGGAAGGGCATCAAGACACATCGTAACAGTGAGTATACATACGTGTCTGGGTGTGTTTATCTTTATATGTTCCTTGAGTAACAGGTGCATAACTTATTCTTTTATCCTAGAGGTGAAACTATCTTTTATTTTATGCCTGGATTTTCAACAAATCACTTGCTCAGAATTTATTGAAGCTGTGAGTTTCTTCAAGAGATCAGATATATGAAAGGTAGTAAAATATCTTAGGTGATTTATTATTCCATTCCAAATATTCTTTGAATGCAGAAGCTTTTGGTTTCCACAGTCCTGAGAAAGCTCCTTACTAAAGGTTGGGCTTGCATACTGTCTAAGTCAAGCAAGTTGTTAAAAAAACAGCCCTTGGCCAATTTTCTAGGGAGTAAGACACACTTCAGTGATTTTGTTAAGAGTATAGATCTTGGAATTACCTAATAGTCTTTTCCTATGATTTCCCTCTTATAGTAGAAATATATTGAGAGTAGCCTGGAGGGAACCTGATCTCACTCTATCTACAAGTTTGCCTGATTAACAACAGTAAGATAATCTTCTCCCTCTTGCCCCAGTGATTGCTTCACAGAGTTCATCCCTAACCCTGTCTTCTCAGGATATCCCGTCAATGAAATTTTTTAGGAATTGGGAATCTAAGATAAAGAGACATGGGTGGATGCTGCTAAGGAACTGGTGAAAGACAATTCTTGACCTTTCTCAGAGAGCAAGCTACAGGCCTCATTATCTGTCTTTCCACATGGTATGTCATGAGCATGGGTCTAGGAACTGTGGCTGTCATTTAAACCATCTTAAAAAGAGGATGCCACTGTGGAAATGGAGAAAATGAAGTATCTTATTGACTTCCTTGGATTCCTGCGTCAGGCTATTCCTGAAGCCCTCTCTGCCTAATCACCATCCACGTACATAATCCAAGCACTGTCTTTTTGACTAAGCCAGTTTACTTTTGATTTTCTGTTTCTTAAGAAGTAAAGAGGTGATGACTGGTCTTTGGGCCTTGCTGTCATTTTCCTCTCTTATTTCTCACCCATATTTCTTGGCAGTCACTGGCCTGATGCTCAGATGTCCTTTCTTGTGCTTTTACTTTGCTGAAAAGTGATAATTCTGCCCTTCCACTTTCATCTTATCATTGTAGGACAGTGAGGATGATTAAGTTTTGCTTCTTTTTTTTTTTTTGGTACTGGAGGTCAAACTCGGGACCTTGTGTTTGCAAGTCAAGTGACAGAACCACTAAGCTAAGTCTCCGGCCCAAGTTTTGAAAGGTTGAGGAGTGGACATCATGAAATATTTCCATTTGTGGGAAATCAGTATAAAATACAGTCATAACCACAGAAAGAACCTCAGTGTACCAACAATTTACACCAAAGACTGGCTGAAAATGATTCATAGAGCTACACATTTGTAAAGACAGATTTCCTACAACACCGCGACTTTAGTCTCACCTTGAGTGGAAACTATTAATTCCTATTTCTTTGTGATTCTTTGAACTATATCATTCTCATTATGGGGAGTGTCATGAAAAAAGGCAGCAAGCCTCTGCATGAAGAGCTGTGAAATTCATTCGTGGGTAACAGCAATCAGCTTGTTTATCTAACACAGTGCCCATCTGAATGATGCAAAAGTACAAAACACAAAGAAAACAAGACAAATCTAAAACAGGCCTGGAGGAGACGAGCCTTCTAACTTTGGGTGGTTGAATAGAGGTCATAGTGGCATGTCTGGCATAATGACACCAGCAATGGTTTTAGTGACTATAATTTAGCCTGAGTCTTCATGTCTGGTGCCAGAAACAGAGCCAGTCTGATGAAGGAAACCCAGCCCAGGGAAGTAGGAGAGGAGACGTGGTACATTTCACACAGAAAGGTCTTGTTTTGCAGTGTCACTATGGAATGAAGGCTATGTGGCACTTGCATTCTACTTGGCATCCCGGTGTTGGCTTCTGATTTAAAGCAGTTCCTTGTGTCCCTATGCACAGGGAATTTCAGTGGACAGGCAGATCAAAGAGGGTGAAAGGAGCCTAAGGGAAGCAATCAACTTGTACAACTGACATTTTATTAGCTAATGTATTGGAAATTTTTATGTGAAATAAATAAATTAACATGAAAATGTTTTAGAAATAACATTTCAAGTGAGAGCAGTAGAGTCCAAGTAAGTATCTTTTACCGGATTTTAGTGCAACGCTTGGGAAGTTCGATCTCTGGCCAATTTGTCAGGCGATGGTTATTTTTTCATGATGCACTCTCCCTCTCCCACTCTCTCCACGACTGTAGTTTCAAATACAAAGAGGAACTCTGTAATATTTCACACACTGAATTTATATGCCAAGAAATGGGGTCTTAAAAGCTCACTGTAGAGTGTTGACAAGTGCAGGATATACACTGGAACAATAAGGAAAAACAAAGACCAGGGAAGAATTGAAAGGATTTATATCTCTTTTTCTCTGTTGCATTCAATAGGTTCACTTCTAGAAGCTAATTTGAATAATGAATGTCATTTTTCAGGAACTTGGTGCTCCCTTCCAGTCGCTAAGAAGCTGCTGATTCAATTGGGTAATTTATTTCTTTCAAAATACTGCAATCGGTAATTTTAATAACTCAAAAAATGTTACGTTTCTAAAATATGATGAAGAGAATGTCTTATCACTGACCATGTCTGAGCCTGAAACAGCTAGACTGGAGAAAAATAAACATGAAAATTTGGTCAATTTACAAAAATAATCAACTGATGAGACCAAGTATTGGTCAGAAAAGGTAATCTTTTCTATTTCATAGTTTCCATATTCCAAAATAGATTGCCAGCTGAGCCTCACAATGCACTTTGGAATTAGGAAATATGGCAATTATTATCCCAATTTTACAGAAGGTAAAACTGAAAGCAATTGAATATGATCAAATCATTCTAGCTAGAATAAAGCTAGAGCTTTATGTTCTTTATTATACATCATTAACAAAATGACCTTTAACACGGTGCCTGATTTGTTCCTTGCAAATAAACAATATCTGAAAGCCCATGTCTTAATCCAAGAAAGATATTTCTTGTTTGCATGGCATCCCCAGTATGATTTGGCAGGGAAGGGATTAATATTCGGGCACCCAGACTGATGGAGGCTCTCTCTTGTCTTCATGTGGACTCAGATGATCACAAGGACAGGGAACAGTGAGAACTGTCCACTGTTTCTTTCCTCACTTATTCATTAGTAAGCACACATTCCATTGGCCAAATCAAATCATATGGACACAATGAACTTTAGAGGAGGCAAAATATAACACGCTTATCTTATGTGTAGGGGGAAGAAAATGATGATGGATTTGGAAATGCCTGATGTTCACCCCTTTCCAAAAAGTGTTTATAATATTCAGAATATTGATAATATTTAGAGATGACTCCCTGAAAACTATGTATGTATTGACTTTTCTTTTCTATTTGTATCACTACATGAACTCTCATTTCCCAATTATATATCAGAAGTTGTCTTCATGTATTGTAGGGTATAAAGATGCTACAAATAATCCACATTAGGATATTTTTGTTTGCTTTTTAATGAGTTAATTCTAATCAATATCTTGAAATAAACAATAGTAACCATAGTACATAGGCACTTTTATCATATTGTCGCTTTTTAATCTTCATCCTAATTGCGATTACTTTAAACATTCAAGGATTTTAATCTGGCAATTTTACCTCACAAATTTTATAGCCCTATCCCTCTTAATTGCAAAGAAACACATAGGCAAATTAAAAATTGTCATCCATAAGCTTAAATTTATAGGACATAGAAGGAATCTAAAACTAAGTGGCTAAAGAATTAAGAAGGTAAAAAATTACAATGCTAGAGAAATTCCAAGGCCAATGAGAAAAAATGTATTGTTATTCCACATTTAAAACAAAACTCGTGACTTATCTCAGAAAGATCTGGGCTCCTGACATGCTCCAGCCATCAGAAAAGAAAACTTCTATTGCCCAGCTAATTTGGGGTCAAGAAGAACAAAAGTTAAGAATAAGTTTACTGGAGAATGGAATGTTTTAAAACTTAAGTAATGGACCCAGGGACTGATTTATTAAGTCAGCAACTTTTTGCTTTCTCATGACCCTGGACATATGGCCTGTGCTTTGAAGCCTATTGGGGTCTGAAAGCTTGTTTACCCTCTAATTCATGTTGAAATCTAATTGCCATCATGATATTATTAGAAAGTGAAGCAATTAGGTCATGCATAGAGGACCAGGTTAGAGATTTCACAATAGAAATTCACTGCACCTTCCACCAAATGAAGACACAAGAAGATCTCATCGAAGAGACAGAAAATGAGCCCTCCTCACCTACTAAGTCTGCTGGTGCCTTGATCTTGGAATTTCTAGGCTCCAGAATTATGAGGAAAAAAGTATCTGTATTTTATATGCTATTCAGTGTGTGAGCTTTTATTATAGAAGCCAAAATGTATTAAAACATATTTATAATCATTTTCCTTTGTCTCTTTCCCCAGATATGTGTTAAAATTTTTGTGTTGAGGATATTTAATCATTTTTCATGGTTTATTTACTGTATCTCAGGATGTAGTAACTGGATAAAAATTTGAGCTATTACATAATGGGATGGAGTTTTGATTGGGTATGGGATTTGAAAGTTTATTTTTGGAGAGCAGTGTGAGTGGATGACAGCAGTCAAGGAGCAGAACATAACAAAAATGTTTAATTTTGATCAGGTGCCCAGAATTTCTATGGGATAAGCTCCTTCCCTACTTCCTGTTCTGAGCCCCACGTGGTTTGGCTAGATTGGCAATTCCCAGTCAGTCCCATTTTCCATTTCTAAGCATGGGCAAAAGACATGCGCATAGCCAGGGAAAGTGCCATCCTCCAACAGAAATCAGCTTGAAGACAATAATCTACAAAGAAAGTGATTTGAGTCACCTTCCGGAGATTGGAGGAAAGCCCTAAAAATATGCTCATTTCTATGAAATTGCCATAATAAAGATAACATAAGTATAGAAAGTTTGGTGCCCTTTGTTACTTTCATTCTAAATATTCAATTCTCTTATCTCCATAATCATATATATGCAATTATTACTTTTATCCTGTAAGAGTGTTATGAAGATTCAGTAAGATGGTTTTTGAAAACAAACTTTGTCTGGCTTAGACTAGATACACAGTAAATGTTAGGTAAAGCTGAGGTATAAAGTGGAAGGCATTTAGGGATTTCTGATATATAATGAATTATATTTCCATAAAATATTACATATAATGTAGCATTTGATTAATTGATTATTTCTAGGTATTGCTATATTTGGATTACACAGTATTGCACTGATCTTACAATCACTTCAAAGTATCATCTTCATGACAGATAAAGGACATGACAAATAATAGACCTTGTAGACTGATACAGTGATACTACACACACTCCTATTGACTCCAGGACCTTCAAGTCCTGGAAATTGTGCAACATCTTTTTGGTAAAGAATGAAATTTATTTCATTTAAATGATTTGCAATCAATTGATCATCTATGGAATGTATCATTTCTGTAAAAATTGGTATTTAAAAATCAAATTGTTATTTTATAACAAGAACAGTCTTTCCTCTTGTATAGGGTTGGGTTTGTATCGATTTAAAAATTTTACCAGCAAAATCCATCAGAAGGTATGAACATACTTTGGGCAGAGTTTCATTTTAAAGAATAACTCACCCCTGTGCAGCTTTGTCTATTCACTCAACAGTCTCTTGAAGCATCATTGGCCTAATTTCCATTTCCTAGAAAAAGAAGAGGTAGGTGACAGTGATGTTTATCAAATGCAAGACAGCTGCCATTAAACCCAAACTACAGCCTCAGTTACCCTCACAACATGTCACATACACAGCTGCTTTCTTCATTTTTTTCCCCAAGGGGACAGAGTCCATCTCTACTCAACTCCAACAAGAATGACAATTTTGCTTTCAGAGTTACAATTTTAGTTGTTATCTCAAGGTAAAGAAACTATTGTGGAGGCAAAATATTAGATGTATTTAAATTCCTTTCAAGAATTGAATTGGAAACCAGAACATTTGACCAGTAAATACCATCTGTGTTCTCCTTTCTGTGATTTACACACAATGTCTGGATTCTGAAGAATGCACATGCCACTTATTAGAGTTCTCTCTCTCTTTTTACTTTTGTGCACATTATAAATTTCATGTAAATATTTTAATCAAGATTTTGTGTTTTCCTTCAAGTTCAGTTTCATTATGACTAAGGACAAGGATTCAAGGACTCAGGTTTCGTCAGTCTCTGTGTTTTGTAAAGCTAGCAATGAGAGAGGAAAAGAGTAAATAGACATAAATACAGGCACAGTTTCTCAAATGCTTCAAACAGAAACCCTTCTTAACTTCCCAGTGTGAAAAGTAGGTTTCTACAAAAAAAAATTTCTTTTTTTTTGATGTAATGAATGTTTTCGTAAGACCTGGTTTTGTGTCTGGCTGTGCAAAACTGGATCACACAGCCCAGAAAGAGGGCATGATGAGAAGAGACAGGGAAAGGAAATACAAAACAGGCAAGAGATTTTTAATGGGTGTTCTTTTACAAATGATGCTTCCCCCACCTCCTTTCAGTTTTCTCTTTGAGCTTGTCATTTGAAGACTGAAATTATGATATTATATTCCCTTGAGAATAGTCTAAGTTGGATTATCACCGCTAGCAGATTTGTGAAGCCTTAATTAGAAAAGGCTCAGAGACTAACCAAACGAACCATTTTCCAAACACTTTGACTTGAAAAAATTTCTTAGTCATATATGTAGTTTCACAGGGTATGTAGAATTTTTCATTTTTGAAATAATTTTGAGTGATATGCAATAAATATACTTAGGCAAGTAGGTACATGTATACACATATGTATAATTTTGGATGAAATTATTTAAAATAATCTAGTGCAGACTTAAGTACAGCAATAATACGTAAATATAAATGCCCACTTTTTCTATTAAAATGAGTTTTCTGATTTTAATTTTATGTTAAAGGTCATAATTTGTTGAAAATTTTAACCATCTAATAGTATATCATATTTGTTTTGTGAATAATGCTGATTGAAATATACTTTTTCAAATGTATGGCATGATATGAGGAAAAAAAAGACCTATCATCATGACATGATTTATAGAACTCTTGCCCTATACTTTAACAAATAAACAATTAGTTAGTTTCATAATTTTTACATCTTATTTTAGCTGGACAGATAAGAGGAGATTCAAGCTGTTATTTGAAATGTCTGCAAATAACATATTATATGCAGGCTAAATATTCCCCATAATCCAAGGCCATATTTAATAATCATTACATTCGTTTATGTTTCTCAAATTGATTTTTGAAGTACTAAATATACACAAGAATGTTGATCTGATGAAGGGAAAATTGAACAAAATTTGCAGAATTATATCATTATGCCCCTAATTTCCTTATTGCATTTCAACATCAGTGTTCCTCGTGCTTCCTGTCTTTAACAAATGGTCAATTATGGATATAAATAAAAGAATATTTTACTGAGAATTTTAAAAAGCAATGTCCTGTTTAAAACTAATGTATGGTCATCAACTGAGTCAGAAATGAAGGGACGAAATCTGGAGCCAGCTCGTTTGACTTTCTCTAAGCTCTGAATATATTCACAGAGACATGTGAAGGGAATTAAACTTTTCCCTATAAAGGAAATATTCCTAAATAATTATTTTGTTTTTAATTTAAATAATAAAATTTGCCGTAGATATCAATATTATATTTCACAGTAGTCACTGGTAAATCTATGAGCCAATGGTTCAGAAAAACTGTTCCAGACTAAGCTTTTCAGTTTCCTCCAAAGAAATCCAGAGGGTTGATGCCTTTGCCATATGTGTACAGGTAGTTTACTGTTTAGTAGGGAAAGCAATTCATCAATATTTATTTTATGTTATCATTGTTATTGGTATTAGTTTACAAACTGTTGCTTATCATTATTAATTTTAATATGAAAATGGTTCATATTGTCTCTATTATTGGAATTGTAAAGAAAATTCAGTTTCTCTTCTTAGGATAAACACACACACACACACACACACACACACACACACACACATTTTTCTTTCTTTTTTTGTCCTGGGATCAAACTTGGAACCTTGCGAGGCAGGTAGCAGAAGCACTGAACTAAATCCCCAGCCCAGGCCCAGGATAACTATATTTTTAGGACCCAGGTCAACACTCCGGTACATTTTGAAATGAAAAATAGCTTTGCTAACATATTCTACTATGAAGATTATCCTTATTATATTCTCTGGTACTGTACCAGAGTTTGTCCACAGCCTTTCAATACTAATTATTTCTCTGCCTTGTAACATCCCATATTTTAAAAAGTGTCAGAATTTCTGAGGTTGATTTGCAAAAAATAATTATTAATAACTGGAACTCAAAAGCTGATATTCAGGTGTAAAAGTGAAATGAGAGATGGGACAGTGGTTACCTGACTACTCCATGCTTTTCTCATGGAGGAGCTTAGGTTTCTACAGAGAAGTTCACATTTTTCATTCTTGAGCTTTGCTTGCTTTGTACTACAGGTATGTAACAAAGTCCAGAAAGGAACTAGAAATCACCAAATATTTAAAACCAACAAAAATACTCAGAACGCATTACGCAGTTAACAGAAGAGCTAAGAGTCCAGCGTGAGGCTGGTCAGGCAGCTTAAAGATTAGCACCAGCAGGGAGCTGCCACGGTCCCCTGTATGGCAGGCCAGACAACTGGGCTTCCAGGCAATTGGCAGGACCCATGCTCTGTACCCAAGCTATGAAGGAGATGAGGCCACTATTGAAGGCGCTGTTCTGGGCAAATGAGAGCAGAACAGAGATTCCTTGACTTGTTCCACCTCTCTCTCGCCAATCGCCGACTGATGAATCACTTAAACAAGGAGAAATAGAAGAAACACCTACTTCCTGTCCCTGCCCCTCCACTGCATACAGAAAATGCTCTTTTGACAAGATGCAGACATGAGGAAGCCTCCTGTAGCCCTGATTTATATTCTCTTTTTCTGGCCAAGGAGACAATGTTATTTATTCTTGTTCTGGGACTGTGATGTACTTTATGCAAAACATGTTCGCACATTTATGCAACAGGCTACTTATGGAAGATATACTTTCCTCCTATCTTGAGGAAAGAAACCATTGTTCCACTTGCAGTGTCTGGGATATCATCTGGTGTATAACACGAATGAACAGTGCTGGGAAAAAAGTAGTTTACTGACTCCCATAATTAAATGATACCTGAATGAACAACAGCCAATATCCTAGGTAGCGATACCTTTGTCTGATAGCTACATGCCTTCAGATGTTCTTCTTGGAGAGCTATTGTCAATGCCTTCCTGCTTTCCTACATAGCAAACCCACTGTATTCCTTCACAGACCCAGCCCTCAATATCCAATGGCTGGCTCTAAAGGGGAAAAGTCTGCCCGGGCTATGACCAGTTTATGAAGTATGGCTCTCTCTTCATACACACATGTGCATGTACATCTATAAGCACACACATCAGAAAGTAAAAACTGTCTATACCAATAATTTTGGTAGATTCGCTTTGCTTTTATTATTGATTCAAGAGTCAGTGCCTGCCTGCTTGATGTATGGGAAAGTAGTGCCCTATACCTGCCACACAATTCCTTAGAATCACGGTCTTCGCTAGGCATCACTAAATTGTAAGCTGAAGTATTTGTGGTTGTCTTCCCTCCTTCAAGCTCAGGAATTGTTTACAATCCTGAGTAACGGAGCTGGTTCTATGATATACTTTGTCGCATGCTCTGCTCACTAGCTTGCCTGGATTTGACAGGGGAATGCTGGCATTTAGGCCACTATGAGGCTGTGTTCTGTTGACTCCGATTCCTGCAATTCCTTTAAATTATACTTCCTGAAAAATATGCCCCACGTAAGTTCTGTAAAGGGACATCGGATCACATAGCTTTCTTTCCAATCATTTGTTTATTCAGCTCATGTTTACTCCATACCTGCTGTTGCCCTGTGTATGTGGAGAATCCAAAGACAAAAAGCAGTGCCTTGAATCTTGTCCTCAAGAAGCACAAGGACTTCAGGGCTTTACAGAAAGTGAAACACAAAAGCACAGTTACCTAGACCACATGCAATTTCATATGTGTGGACATAAAATGTATAATGGAGAGGTTGATGAAGGCCTCACACAGGGGTTTGTGCTGGAGCTGATGGGGTAAGGATCCTATCCCAGGTAAGGAGAAGATTTACAAAGGTATGGATGCACAGAAGAGCTGCAACACTGTTGTTATTGAGTGACAGGTAGGGGACAAAGTCTTGGAGATGAAACTGAAGGCATAAGCAGAGAAGATAAAATTTTGTATTTACCAGATTAAGGAGATGGGATTTTTATTTTGTGAGTCAGGAGAAGACACTGAATAGTTTTGAACATGGCAAAAAATATTACAAATCTGTCTATTCGTAGTGAGGGAAATGGACTGAAGTAGAGATTAAGTTTCAAAGTAGGAAATCTAATTAGAAATAAATGTGAATAATCAATGAGGAGTCTTCTGTTTAAAACTCCATAAGAAGATATTATGTTAAGAGCTAGTCAGAGTGAATCTCGCCACCGGCCATACATACAGGCAAAAAGTGGTCATGGCTCAACCCTTGCGGAGTCACAGTTTCTAGAAGCTAGAATAAGGTACTACAAGGGAAGGAACAGTGGTGCTGGGGGGAAACAGTTAAACACGAGGGGAATTTGAGAGTGGAGGAAACTGGACTCCGAGA